TCACTCCACAGAACATTATTGCACTGCACCAGATTGTTTTCTATAATATATTAAATTGTATAGAATAACTCCACCACCATTATCAGGATTCGTAGTTTAAATTCTAAGATACATGTATGTATATAATAGCAGTATTTTGGTTGTTCTATCTATTAAATTGTCCTATTATGCCCCCCCCCCATATTCTTTAAAGTTTAAGACTTACTTTGACATTATTCTCTGGCCCAATCTGCCTAGGGTCCGATCGATGATGTAGACCTCATCCCCCAATTGGCAAAATCTCCCCAGGGGGACCCCACACCCCCGAACCGGCAAAACCTGTCCAGTGCCCCCCACCTTGGATCAGTGGAGCATATTGAGGTGTAACCCCCAGTCCCCGATCAAGGAAACCAATTGAGGGCCCCCACCTGAAATTTATTGCTGAATATGAGCCTACCTTGAGCCCCTGCAAACTAGATTTGTCCCCATTTGCAGGGTAGATCTTTCAATCTGGTAAAGGGATCCACTACTATTTATTTATCATAGGCTACTACACAATGCATATATATATATATATACACCAATGACAAAACCTAAGTGCTAAGGCACATACAGACCTGAACAGAACAAATGTAAAATCTCCCAATTTTGGACAGCAGCCCAAAATACTCCCATTTCCATCATTCGATCGAGAAATAACGTCAGTCGACGTCCATGGCCTTGTAGGGCGTAGGAGCTGTAAACCCCGGATTCCGTACGCAGATCGCCATTTTGTGGAGACTCTGCTGTTGTGTCCGGCAGCCGAACACGCGTTCATATAGCAATAAACAAGAACAAAAAGCGCCAGAGCCAGTTATCTTCCTAAAGGAAAGTGAATCTTATCGTATGTCCGCTATCCAGAACCTCCAGACTTTCGGTAAGGTGATTTAAGAACACATAAGATTAAAATCGCGTGGGAACGTTTGTAATTATCGCTGGTCAAGCTGTTTCGGCTGAACGTCGTTTGGATTTTTGACTTCGTTCACTACATTTGACAGTGTAAGGAAGCCATTAACGTTAGTCATTTTCGGAATTGACTTAAAAATATATATGTTCGATCGATAGACTTTTATAATATTTAAGATAATACGTCAGAAGTTAAGTAATAAGATCGCCTAGTACGACTATCTCGACGCTTCAGATTT